TTGCCCAGCGTGCATGAGGAGAGACTGAGACGGACGGCGGTCGCGGAGGAGGAGGGGGGGTGCTACTCAGAGGCGGAAGACTTCCATCCTGGGTGCGCTGGCGCGGCCAGCGTCGGCAGTGGGGACCGTGGCAGCGGCCGGCCGCGGCGCCGATGCATCCACGGGCGCTGACGAGGACCTCGACGCGGAACCTAGGGCACTTGCAGTGAGGCTGTCCAGGTGTGTGCCGATGAGGTACTGTAAGGGAGAGCACAGTACAGCCACCCAGGTCGGCCGACGAGGCACTGTCAGTTCGAAAAGCAATCTATGCTTCAGACTGCACGAATCTCTATGCCCAGGAACACCATCGCCAGGGGGGTCGCTGCCAGCCGCGGTTGCAGCGTCGGCGCCATGGCGGCGCGCGGGGGGAGAGAGGGAAGATGCGCAGGGAAGAAGAGAGGGGGGGGGACGCGGAGGAGGAGTGCCCCGCCTGCGGGGAGGCCCTAGCAGGCGGGGCGTCGGCGACAGGCGGCCCAGCGCCAGCGCTGCAGCTGCCCGGCGGTTGGCCCTTGCTGCGGCCGTGGAGGCCGCGCGCTGTCTGGGTAGACAGCGCGTGGCCGGTCCAGGCGCACCTAGCCGGCGCAGATACCTCTGTGCAAAGGCTGGAAGAGGCCACGCGCTGTTTGGGTGGACAGCGCATGGCTGGTCTAGGGGCACCTAACCGGCGCAGATGCTTGTGTCAGAAGTGTGGCCAAAGGCCGGTGGGGGCCACGCGCTGTCTAGGTGGACGGCGCATGGCTGGTCTAGGGGCACCTTCACCTGTGTCAACTGTGGTCCAAGGCCGTTGGGGGCCGCGCACCGCTTTGGCGGACAGCACATTGGCCAGTCTAGGGGCACCTAGTCGGTGCACTTATTTGTGTCAAAGCTGTGGCCAATGGCCGCTGGGGGCCACGCGCTGTATGGGTGGACAGCAGATGGCCGATCTGGGGGCACCTGATCAGTACAGCTTCCTTCGCTTGTGAGTACAGAGGGCCACGCGTCGTCCAGGGGTGAGGGCGCATGGCGGAGGAAGCAACAGGGGAAGGTGGCGTCGTGGCGGCTGTGGTCGCCGGCGCCACCGCCACACAAAGCGCAAAACCGATGTATGGCCACCACAGGTCAGGTTCACCACCTATTTGCTGTATCTTCCTGTCCCGGGTCACCAGGGCATCTTTCGAGCTGAAAAAGTCGAACAGGACGCGTGTTGGGACATCTTCAGGACGCGCCCGCCCCTTGTCCTGTTTCCTGTAGTCCGAGGCGAACGAGTCCCATTGGACGCGGGTGCCTGGCAATGTGGTCCAGGTGTCCCTGACGAGTAGCACGGGCTCACGCCGCGCAGGCAGAGGTGTTGCCCCTCGCGGACTGGCGCTGGAGCAGCCCGCGGTGCCGGAGCCGCCAACGGCCGTCGTCACAGGGGAGGAGCGAGGAGCCCTCAGGGGCGGGCGGTGGGCTCCCGCACGGTACGGCTGCTTGTCGGCGATGACCCAGTCGCCGCAGCCGCCGGCTTGCGCCACTGGCCTGGCAAGCTGCAAGGGCGAACGCCACGCGACGCCCCGACTGGCGGGCAGGGGGCGGGCATGGGCGCCAGAGGGGGCGGCGGGCCGGGCGTGGGGGGGGGCGTCGGGGAAGGTGTCGGGGAGGGAACCACGAGAGACGTCGTCGCGAGGGGCGTTGGTCGGGGTGCCGTCGAGAGGGGAGTCGGGAGGAGCGCAGGGCTAGGCGACGGCAGTGGCGTCGGATGGGGCGTTGCGTCCAGGCGCGTTGGCCTCGGCCTCGCTGTCGTCAGCATGATCCGCCAAGCAGGGTCCTTCTGGCCGCTCGCGGCTGCAGTGCCGGCGTTCATCTGACTGCTCACTGCCGTGCTGCTGGAGTCCGGCGTGTTGCGCGTGGTCGAGCTCGCCCCAAGAAGCCCGCTGTTACGACGAGGGCTCGCCAGGACGAGCGGCGGTGCCAGGATCTCCCCTTCCTCCGCTCCACCAGGATCCTCCACCTCCCAAAATATCCCCGCCACCCCCAGGTCCGCCCAGGTGCCCGCCGTCCTCCTCCCCACACGGACTTGGTACGCCGCCGAGCGCGGCAGCCGAAGGCTTCGCCGGTTCATTGGGAACCCTGGCGCCCCTTGAACAAGAGCTGCTGTGGTCCGGGGGAGCCATGCGGACCAGGTGGAGGAGGGCCGTCGCCGTCGTAGTCGTCTCGGCCCAGGGCCGTTGCGAGGCTGCTTCCTTCAGGGGCACGGTCGCCGTCCCTCGGCAGACGGGGGCCGTCCGAACCGCCGCGGGGGGGGCGGGCACATGGGGGCGAAGGGGCCTTGGCTGACCAGGCGACGTAGTGCCGCTCTGTCCGCCGTTCTGCCCGCCTCCTCCCGGGACGGCGGCGCTGCGGCGGCCTGCGGGCCCAGCTCTCCGGCCACCGGGCGCAGATGCAGCCCGAGACTCGCCAGGCAGTGGCAACCGCGCGAGCCATCGGGGTGCCTTGCCAGGGCGGCTTCTGGGCAGGCGGCCGCATCATGGAGGATTGCGTGGACCTGGCCGTCTGTGTCCCGCACTCGAACCCAAGAGCCAGGGGGCGCGTCGATGGCGACGTTTGTTGTCAGGCCAGGGGGGATCGGTCGTTCCCGCAGCACCGTCCCACTGCACACTGCCGCACGCCACTTGGGCATCGAGTTTCTGCTGCACGCTGCCTTCACCTGCGTGGCTGGGGCCGCCGGGGGGGTAGACCCAACCCCGTGGTCGCGTCGTGCGCTGGCTGAACAAAATAGCTTGCGCATCATCCGTCCTTGGGGACGCCCCTGCTCGTGGTAACTTCTTGTTCGGCGCCCCAACTAGGTCCACTTCTGGGTGAGCCGGACCCAGGTGAGGCGCCGATGGGCTCCCCCGCTCTCCCGTAGCCAGGCCGAGGCGAAATGTGGGGAGGCGACTAGGTCCCCCACTGGGGGGGCGGGCGGCGTCGAGAGGCTCGCTCTGGCGAGAGGCAGTGGGGGTGCCATCGGGGGGCCCGGTAATCCCCCCGCCACCTAACTGTGGCAAATGATTGTTCGGATGGGGACACTGTCCCAGCGTCAGCTCTGGGTGGAGCCGACGTGGCCGAGGTGTCGACAACCCCCCCTTGTCCCCCCGGCGCCGCACCATCACTCTGTCCAGGTCCGCTGCTGCGAGCGGTGGTGGAGGGTCCAGGCACACGGCTCGCATCTGCGTCGGCATCAGCCAGCCCTGCCACGGGCGGGCTAACTACTCTCGTGTGGCACGCCACCAGCCGTAGCAGGAACTTGTGTAACATTGCCACATCTTCCCAGCAGCCCGCAGCAGCCACTGGGTGCTGGCAGCTGAGGTAGGGGAGGATCGGCGGTCGCAGGATCGGCCCCCCCCCCCTGACGCGCCGAAGAGCCGGCCGCGGCGACGAGGGCTCCCCAGGACGCACAGAGGCGCCAGGATCTCCCTGACCACTGCCCCCCCACAGGTCCCCGACCCCCCGAAAATCCTTCCGTGGCGACGAGGACTCTCCAGGACGAGGGCGGGAACACGCGCGCACACGCGCACACCTCGTCCTTCACCTCCCCGTCGACGTCCTCGTCCTTCGCCTTCTCCTGAACCTTCACCTCCTCCGAGTCCTCCTGCACTGCATCTGGAGCTCTGGGCGCCGCTTCGATACCATCGCTGGCGAAAGCTCTCACACCGTCCGTGGCTCCAGGCGCTGCCCCCGCCTTGTCCGTCATCTCCTCGACCTCCACCTCCACCTCCACTTCTTCTTTCTTGTCGTCGAAGCCCTCCTCCACCACTTCCTCCATGTCCTTCTGCACCCCACCCATCTCCTCGATACTTCCTCGATGCCTTCATCTGACATGCCAGGGATGGCCAGTCCTTTTGCTTCTCTGCGGCCTCGCCAGACGTCAGCTCCTTCCAGCCGAGGCCACCCGCCCCAGCAGCGGTACCAGCGGACTGGTCCTGAACGCCCAGCTCCGTCTCGCACGCGCGCAACGGAGAGCGGGTGCAGGGCACCTGGTCGCCCCGGGCAGGGCCAGCCAGACCATGCGGGCCGCCTGGCGTCGCCGCCGCGGCGGCGGCGGCGGGCGGGAGAGGGCGGCCACCGTGGCCCAGAGGCCAGCGGCAGCCGCCGCGGCCGCGGCCTCCGCGGCGGCGCCCGCGGCGCATGCGGCGGCGGTAATTAGCGCTGACGCTGTCCACCGCGGCGGCGCTCGCGCGCCCGGCGGCGCCCGCGGCCGCCCGCAGCGGTCGGCGACGGCGAGCCGCGCGCGGCGGCGGGGCAGCAGCGGCAGCGGTGGCCACCGCAGCGCGCGAGAAGCGCCGGCGGCGCCGGCGGCGGCCGTGACGCAGGAGGCGCCAGCCCGCGGCGCAGGCGGCAGCTGCGCGCCCTTGCCGCCGCCGCCGCGCCGCGGGGGTCTCCGCTCCAGCGGCCATGCCGAGGCGGCGACAGCGGCGCGCGGCCCGGCCGCTCCGCCCAGGCCGCGCCGGCCACCTCGAGCCTTGACCCCAGGGGAGGAGGCCCCCCCTGGGGAGATACCTAGAGCCAGGGGGGTTCGGAGACCCACACACAAACACACACACACACACGCACACACACACAGAGACAACACACACACACACACGCACACACACGCACACACGCACGTCCACATACAAACACGTTGTTTTCCGCTGGCGACGCGACACCACCGTCGCCATACATATATATATATATATATATATATATATATATATATATATATATATATATATATTCGCGGGCAGCAGTCATATTGCATATTGGTTACACTTGTACGCGCACGCGCATTCCCACATCTTCTTTTCCACGACCGGGCGCTCTGCAACGCGGTCTCACTGGTAGCGAGCGCGGGTAACGCACACACGCACGCACGGAAAACAACGAAGTTGAGGGCACCCGTGACAAAAGATATTTACGTAGAGTTGGTTCGCATCGCTATCATTACCAATCCTCCTTTTCATCCGCATCCTCTGCGACGCCAGTTGGCCGTGGCTGGCTGGACGAAGCAGGGCGCTCCGGGGGCTGGCCTGGCAAGTTCGGCGGCATCCGCCACGCTGTGCTACTGCTTCACGGGAGGCTCACGTGGGTGGGGAGGCAGCAGCAGCATCGAGGATCGATGGTCGATAACTTGCGTCTGGGATGCCCTCGTCCCCACGGCCAGATTCGTATCGAAATGTTTGTCCAAAAGCACCCAGGGAGACGCTTGCGGGTCAGCTCTTGTGGGGGGCGCGTGCCTGGACCTCTGGTATCACGAAAAGAAATCGAGGCGGGCCGTTTTTTTCAGGTTCGGGGCTTTCGCTTGTCATGGAGAAAGGGCGTGCATGCTGCTGCCTGCTGGCGAGATGCGGGGTGCTTCCGCTTCGGCCTGGTGTTATCATTGAAGAGTTACCGCGCCTGGCGTTCAGCCACGTTTGGAGGGGACTTGTAGAAAACAGCTCGACGCTGGCCGCTTCGGGATGGAACGCTCGGCAGTGAACAGCAAGTGACCTGCAAACGTGGCGGCCTTGACGTTGGCGTTGCAGTGCTGGATTCATCGCGCCAGCACGATGTCGAAAAACGTGTCCAAGCCCGCACCAGTTTGCGGCGTACTTCCAGGCACAACGACAACCTTGCAGCTAGCATCGTTGTCACTGATATGCGGCATCTCCTCGTCGATAGTTCCTTGATCGGTCGCCAATCTTAACCCAGAAAACATAGCATGCATGCTGCGTGAGGCCTGCCACGATATCCACTGCCACGAATTCCCCTTAGTATATGTTCTACTTGAATGCGAGGGCGAACGCTGGTTGTGCAAGCTTGTGTCGCTGACAGCAGCAAGCGCAAGTTGCTCCAGGGACGCTCGGTCTGTTTCCAGGGCTCGGGTATACTCATGGCGCCCCACGACAGGGAGAAGGGGCGCACGTCACCACAGCAAGCAGACACAGGGCCTGCGCGCGATTGCTAAGCCACCTTCCTCATGGCCTGGTGCTGCCCTTCACAAGCGGGAACCAGTTGTAGTTCCCCGTCCTTCATCCTCCGCCTCTAGCTGCATGCACTCCCCCCTCAATCTCATCCTTCTCCTCCGCCTCCAGCTGCATGCACTCCCCCCTCGATCGCGTCCTTCTTTAACTCAGCAACCTCCTCATCTTCCTCGTTGTTCTTTATCCTGGTCCTCGCGTTTATTGTCTTTCTATCCTGCTTTTCCTGACGTCCCTTTTTGGACGAACCTTCGCTGGTGTTGCGCAGGCACCACTGGCACATCGCGCTGCGTCCGCGCCACCCACGCCATGGCTTTGCACGAGGTCTGGCAGAGAGTCCGAGGCGGGAATTTATCCATATCCACCGGCTGGAGGGTCAGTTTTCGGAGTCTCGGCAGGCGGTGGATATGGACACATTCGGGCCCCCAGGGGCCGAACTATGTCCATATCCACCGCCCGCTGGGGCACCAGGACGTCGGTTCCCAGGCGGTGGATATGGATAAATCCTCGCCTCGCAGAGAGGGGAGGGAAGACGAGGAGACCGGAGGGGAGGTAAAAGACCACTCGGACGACGCGGAGCGAGGGGGCGGGATGATGGACAATGGTGATCATGCCTTTGGGGGACGGGCGGAGGTGCCGAGGAGGGCGAGGAGCACGGAGAGGACGAGGTGGCTCGGGGAAGGACACTGGAGAAGACGTGCGGAGGCGGTGGACAAGGAGGCACGAGTGGCCGTTCTTCGAAGTCCATGTGTTCCCACGGAGCTGTCATGTAATCCGTTGCGCGTCCTTTGTGAAATTCCTGCCGCCTGGCGCGAAAGAGGGTAGACGAGGCCAGCAGGATGCATCTAGTCCCGGCTCTTCGTATGTAGTCAGCAGTTCGCGCATGTGTGTTTCAGGTTTGTCCTAGTGGACGGACGTTCGATTGAGGAGAAGGCTTCGCCGATGGGGGAAACCTAGCGCGTGTGTGCTGCATGCTGCGTATCGTCTCATACTACACATGTGGAGTGGGTGAACCACGCGTATACGCCTTCTAGCCTTTCAGCTGACAGGCATAATACATGTGTGGCCAGACGCGGTATCTTATTGCGTGTGGCTGTTCGTATGTGCATGTAGTGTAATTGTGCATATAGCGTTCGCGTCGTATTCTCTGACGTCGGCCTGAGCGAACGTCAGATTCCATCTTAACTTACGCTTCCAGTTTGGTTGTTGCTGTTGTCTTCAAATGGTGCGGTTGGGTTGCCACCGCAGCGGGACAGAGGACGCCAGCGGGCCACCGTGCTGGAAGCTCTGAGCTGCAGCGGCAGAGGAAGGAGACAGCATCTCGGAGCGAGCCCGATGTGTGACCGAAACCTCATCTTGAAACGCGATTCCCCGACAGCCCTCAGGCCAGCAACAACATGGAATGTGCCGCATTCCCAGATTTCGCCCCCCCCGGCTTCGGGCTCTTAGGGCCTCTCTTTGGGGCTCCAGAACAGTCAACAAAACAGGCCTCGGGATGCACAGTGGATCCCAGGGAACGCCCCCGGTCCAGGTCCCCCATTTCCACCAGGGCTTGCTTCCCTCATGCCAATTGCATGGAGTACTTGGCCACAGCCATCCCTGAAACATTCAAATCTCTGATTGCCCCACCTCCAGGGCCTTAGGGCCAAAGGTCATGATATTCCCCGAACAGCGTTTGCATTTAGGAGTTTTTGCTTGTATCGCTAAGGAGATGGATGGGTCTGCCGAGGTTTCGCCCCGTTGCCGCCACGATGCCGCCCGTTGCCGCGGTGTTGCCGCTTGTTGCCGCTTCGTTGCCGTTGGGGGCCCGCCGAGGTTTTGCCACGTTGCCGCCCGTCGCCGCCTCGGTGCCTTTGGAGAGGTCCGCCGAGGTATCGCTGCGTTGACGCCCGATGCCGCGCCGCTGCCGTTGGGGGGTCCGCCAGCGCTTCGCCACGCGACTGCCACGTTACGCCTCCTTGCCGTCGGGGGGTCCTCAGTTTTCGCCACGTTGCCCCTGTCGCCGCCTCGTTGCCATCGGGGGGTCAGCCGAAGGTTCGCCGCGTTGCCGCCCGTTGCCGCCTCGTTGCCGTTGGGGGTCCACCGACGTTTGCCAGGTTGCCGCTCGTTGCCGCCAGCCGCGCCTGGGGTGTCCGACGAGGAATCTCCTCGTCGTCCCCTTCTGCCGCTGTTAGTCTAAGGTCTAAGTGCGCCACATCAATTGCGCCACAGACCTAACACCACACAGCTCGCAGAGCATACGTTCTCCGTCCGAATGATATATATACACATAATTATGTATGTATATAAATATATACACATATATATATATATGTACATATATGTGTCTATATATAGGTAGATTCCTCCAACAGCCCGAGCCCGCACTTATCGGTCTTCCTCTGGGGGTGGTTAAGTACATCGGATCTTGTTTGATCGCTCGTTTCCAATTTGAACTGCACAATTCCAGACGACCCGTCATCGCCCCCCGCGCACCCCTGTTATATCACACCATGTGCGACCATTCGTTATATTAAGGTTCCATGTTGTTGTCAAAGAGAGCTCCGATCGAACGTGACACCGACCAAATCACCCTTCGCGGGTTCCAAGGGCACGTTGCGGCAGTAGCCGAGGCGGTGCTCGAGGAGCTCCATGTCCCCGTGGGCCACAATTGCTTCTCACAGGGACCACGCCGAGGCGCCAAGAACATCCTGGATTGCTGGTGGGCAGGCAAACAGAAGTGGGCACGGACATATTCGGTCCCCACACACATGGTGCAGATCATAGGCTTCAAAGACGTCGACGCCGACCCTATCACCACATGTGCCGGCACCCCTTCGCGACTCACAGCGAGCGGTCGTTTCTGAGGCAGCCTGCTTTGAATACGCGATGGGCGCGTCGGACGTCAAACCAGCGTCCCTGACAATGGAACAGCTACAAAGAATTCGCAAAACCCACTGGCGAGCGTCAGCGCGAAGTCAATTTCGAGCTCCCAGCCAATGATGTGGCAGTTATTCTCAAAATCGAGAGGTTCGAATACTTCTATTCAGCACTCGAAGTCCTTCGCATGGGGCAGTTGAAAGGGCGCGCTGAGATGTTGACCCTCGTGGCCCCATAGGGAGCTGCACCGAGGGCCCCAGTGGCTGCGTGCGCATGGCACCACCGCGCTAAGTTCGGCACACCCCTCACACGTTGCGTGGCCCTATAGGCAGCGCTCGCATGGCGCCGCCGCGCCCATTGTGGTACACCCTTAACGCGCTTCGTGGCCACATATGAGCTGCACCGAGGGCCCCAGAGGCTGCGCTCCCATGGCGCTACCACGCCCATTTTGGCACACCCCTCACGCGCGTTCGCATGCGCCCACCGCGCCCGTTTCGGTACGTCCCCCACACGTTGCGCGGCCCCATAAGGAGCTCCACCGAAGACGAGATTCACAAGTGCGTTACTCAGACCTGCTTATGTTTATATATATATATAACAAAAACGTGCTGCAGAGGCGGCATTCGCCTGCAAGCGATGGCGCGTGCGAGCGGGATCATGCGGTTATTTGCCAGCTATCGTAGTGGTAGCAGCCGTAACTATAGCGACCGTCATCGTCGTCGTCGCCATCGCAGGTCTTACAGCAACAGGTATGTCAAACATTTGCCAGGCGGCTGACCCAACCATATGCAGTTGTGAGTACCGCAGTTGTGGGTATCGCCTTCGGTGGAGATCCCTATGGGCCACAAAGCGGTGTGGTGGATGGGGGAGACCCACGTGGACACCGCCGCTACGACTTTAGGTGGAGTTCCTTATGTGGCCACGAAGTGCCGTGCAGGGTGGGGGAGACGCATGTGGAGACCGGCACTGGGGCTTTAGGTGGAGTTTTCGTTGGGGCCACGAAGCGCTATGCTGGGGGGGGACGCATGTGGA